CCTTTTTATGCCATGCTATACTATGACTTTTTATGACTTGATATGCCATACTATACTATCACGTTTTTATGCCTTACAATACGATGACTTTTTATGCCATATTATACTATGACTTTTTATGACTTTTTATACCATACTATACTATTACTTTTTATGCCATGCTATTCTATGAATTTTTATGATTTTTTAAGCCTTAACTTTTTATGCTGTTTTATACCTTACTATACTATGACTTTTTGACTTTTTATGCCATACTATACTTTTACTTTTTATGCCATGCTATACTATGATGTTTTTATGCCATACTATACTATGACTTTTTATGCCTTACTATACTATGACTTTTTATGACTTTTTATACCATATCATACTCTGACCTGTCATGCCATACTATACTGNTGGGTGATATTGTGGCGTAGTGGTTAGGGTTGCTGCTTTGCAATCACAAGGTTACTGGTTTGAATACTGCCATACTATACTATGATGTTTTTATACCTTACTATAGTATTACTTTTTATGCCATACTATACTATGACGTTTTTATGACTTTTTATGTCTTAAGATACTATGGCTTTTTATGCCATACTATACTATGACTTTTTGACTTTTTATGCCATACTACATTTTTACTTTTTATGCCATGCTATACTATGATGTTTTTATGCCATACTATACTATGATGTTTTTATGCCTTGCTATACTATGAGTTTTTATGACTTTTTATACCATACTATAGAATTACTTTTTGTGCCATGCTATTCTATGACTGTTTATGATCTTTTAAGCCTTAAATTTTTATGCCGTTTTACTATGACTATACTATGACTTTTTATGCCATACTATACTATGACTTTTTATGCCATACTGTACTATGACATTTTTATGACTTTTTATGCCACGCTATACTACGACTTTTTATGCCTTACTATACTATGACTTTTTATGACTTTTTATGCCATACTATACTATGACTTTTTATGACTTTTTATACCATACTATACTATGACTTTTTATGCCATATTATACTTTTACTTTTTATGCCATGCTATACTATGACGTTTTTATGCCATACTATACTATGATGTTTTTATGCCTTACAATAGTATGACTTTTTATACCATACTATACTATTACGTTTTTATGACTTTTTATGCCTTACTATACTATGACTTTTTATGCCATACTATACTATGACGTTTTTATGACTTTTTATGTCTTAAGATACTATGGCTTTTTATGGCATACTATACTATGATGTTTTTATGCCTTACTATACCATGATTTTTTATGATTTTTTAAGCTTTAACTTTTTATAACTTTTTATACCTTACTATACTATTACTTTTTATGCCATACTATACTATGACGTTTTTATGACTTTTTATGTCTTAAGATACTATGGCTTTTTATGGCATACTATACTATGACTTTTTTATGCCTTACTATCTATACTATGATGTTTTTTGATGATTTTGTCTTTTTATACTGACTTACTACAATATGACGTTCATTGTCTCTTTATGCCATACAATACCCTTTCGTTTTAATTACTTTTCATGCAATATTATACTAAGACGTTTTTATGACTTTATATGCCATACTATACTATGTTTTTCTTTGACGTTATTATACCTCACTATACTATGACGCTTTTTAAAAAAAAAATTTTTATGCCATACCATACTGTCATTTTTTGACGATTTTATGCTTAACTATATTATGACGGTCAATTACTTTTTATTCCTTACTATACTGTTACAACACTGAAGAAGTTTTAGGGGTAAGGGAAGCAACATACACAATGAAACCTAGGCTTTTGGCGAAAAAGGCCTTTTTATTGTAACAAACACAAAATTCAAACAAAAGGTAATGAAATAATAAAGAAATCACTATATTCAGCGACAGAACTCAAAGAGAACACAGGGAGGATGCTTGGGACAAAGGGAAGGGAAAATCAAATAAAAAAAATCAAATAAAACAGCCTTCTTTTCTAAGCAACTAGTCAACATTTCACAAAGCGAGTTAACTCCAGGAGAGTTCTAGTTCAGTACATCACATAGTCGACATCACAGGATACAGACTGCTCACTTCAAATCACAGCTGCCAGTGGCCTCTTCACTCTGCGGCTTTTATCAAGTCTGCAATTTTTCCCATGGCTAGGGATTGGTTGGCAGGGCCCAATAGGAAGACAAAAGTGGGAGCTTCGAATGGAGAAACCTTGGCTCTGGCACAGGTCAAAGAGGGTGTGGCCAAACCTGCAGCGGAATCCCCGAGTGACGGGTGGGTGACGTCATTCAAACCTAGAGAGTAGGACTGACATTGACACCACAACAAAACATACTACGAGACTGTCACCCATAACAACTTAAAATTTTATGCCTTACTATACAATGACGTTCAATCACTTTTTATGCTTTATTATACTATCAGTTTTTATGCCTTACCATACTACTACTATGACAGAGTGGCATGGTGTTGCATTGGGTTGTTGCCTCACAGCAACAAGTTTTTGGGTTCAAACCCCGGGTCTGGGGCCTTTCTGTATAATTTGCATGTTGTGCTCTTGGGATCTCTCCAGGTACTCTGGCTTCCTACGGGTTAATTGGCGACACCATAGATTAGTGGATGTTAGTTGTCTTTATATGTCAGCCATGTGATAGAACGGTGACTAGTCTAGGGTGTACTCTGCCAACGTCATTGTCAGCTAGGATTGGCACCAGCCCACAGTGACCCTATAAGGATAAGCGGTATAATGACATTTTAATTACTCACAAATTCATAGATTTATCAGAAAACACGCATTTAGTTTTTCATAGCCAATATTTTATTTATTCAAAAATGGGTATTCTTCATTACACCATCCTCCTCCTTCCCATTGTTTCTGTTTCTCAGTGTAGAAAAGTACATTTTATTTTTTGTTCACAAATTTTAAATTTCACTTAAAGCAGTCTCAACTGAGGTTGTAATTAGCACATAAGATTTCAACTGTAATTTATTGTGTTTGGGTCAACAGTGCTTCTGCTGTTCGGTTATTATTTTGTTGAACAAAACCTGTTGTAAGCTGTCAGTGTGAGTGACCTGTATCAAAAGTATTTGTTGATTTTCTTCCTACATCAAAAAAGTTTGTTTTCCATTGTTCATCTGTTGAACTCTTGGGTATCACTAACTTCCAGGTTGAACTACATTAAACAGAATTTCTGAACTCTCCTGAGGCTGCGTGACTCTTCAGTTCTAGCTCCATCTTGGACGTCCATAGAAACAGCATGAAAAGCATTAATTATAGTTTTTGATTTTATCTGAAATGCAGAAAATAAGTTACAGACTGATACCAGGTAGCAGGATCCTCTCACAACCCTTGTATAGGGAAGAATCTTGACTAAATTGGTCCAAACCCGTCCTGTAACCTGAGCCAGGATGAAGCTACCTGAACACATCAACCAGAAAACGTCAACAATATTCACTGCTAATGTTAGCGTCTACTAAAAATACTGGCTAGCATACCAAGCTGTTAGTGTAACACAAAATCAATCAGATGGGTCAATCTTAAAACAGCCACATCTGAGGACCTGCAATATGCTGCTCGAAAAGTGACTTAAATTTTATCTATTGTATTAAATTTCAATATCAACACATTTCTGTGTTAGGTGAGAAAAAGTATTGGTTTTTAAGAAAAAAAAATGTTGGTTTTATGTCACTTCACAGCAACACATTGAAATGAATGAGAAAATGTAGCTGAGACGCTAGCAATAGCATGACAGCTTTCACTCTGTGTCCCTCATTGACTGCAGGTGTTACAAACAGTAAAACAGTACAAGTGAGAAACATCAGTGAAGGATTTTCTCCTTTAAAACAGTCCATCAGTCATCAGCTGTGATAGAGAGACAGAGAGACAGAGAGACAGAGAGACAGATAGATAGATAGATAGATAGATAGATAGACAGACAGACAGATAGATAGATAGATAGATAGACAGACAGATAGATAGATAGATAATTGCAGTGAGATGAGACATTTGTTGCACCTGTAGCTGCTTCTCTGTCCTGCCAGAATGTTGTGGAGAGGATGGTCGGTATTGTCCAAGATGGCCTCCATCTTACATTGCATGCGTCTCTCCACAACAGTCCTGAGTGAGACCCAGCCTTTTGGACCAGCTTGTCCAGTGTCTTTGTGTTCATGTTGGTTAGTTAACCAGCCTGACGTACTGTGGTCGTCTTGTCAGGTAATCCACAATCCAGGACGTGAAGCAGGGATCCGCCCCCATCCCTTCCAGCTTGAAGAACATAGCTGGCTCATCCCAGATGTGGAACTCTGGTGAACAGCTGGTGATCAGGCTGTCTTTACGTTTCATGGATCTGGAAGTTTCCTCCTGCAGCGCTGGTCCATGAATCTCACCCTCTGCTCTGTCACCTGCAGATACACAACAGATCACAGCCTTCAAACAGCAGAACCAGAGGAGCTTCTACCATCAGTCACAACTGGAGTTGGGTGAGCTAAGGTCAACCTGTCAATCAAACCTTTTATCGCTCCTCATTTTTTTATTGCTTAAAAACATGTAGAAATCATTCAGACAGCAGCTTCTCCTTTTCATCTATCAGCGACTCAAAAGACCTTGCTCCTCAGGTCGGCCAATGTGTCGATGACGACGCAGCTGGATGATGACGAAGTAGGACAACAGGTCATACGCCACCTGCACTGGAAACAACAGCTCCTGCATGCACGCACGCAAAGTCCTGCTTTCAAAATAAAAGGTGAAGTACATACAGTCAGTATTAACAGAAAAATGTATCAAATGTAAAACTACTAATTACGCAGAATGGCCCCTTCATATCATTATTATATATTATATTACTGGATTATAATCGTTAGTGACACATTAGTGTTGACGCAGCATTTTTTTTTTTTTAATATATTTTTATTGAGCATCAATGATACAAGGTATGTACACAAGAATAAAACATAGGAAAAATCCTTGGAACAATGCTCACACATTATTTTCAATATGATTTTTTAGCCTTGTTTCCTTTGTTATACAAACACAAGCACCCATCCGGAACATGTAGGACACCCACCCAGATGAAAAGAGAAAACATATACATAGGTTTATCATTATTGACGCTGTGCACTTTATACTACGGTTTGCATGAACAAATGATCATAAATGGAGAAGGGTTGCTATGTGATACTAAGTGGGCATGATTTTAAGTCCACCTAAGTACTTCAACACGGGATCCCAGATGGAGAAGAATTTGTCCCTGGACCCCCTGAGTGTGTATTTGATATTCTCTAACTGTATGAACTGCGTCAAGTCACTCAGCCTTGACGCAGCATTTTAATGTTGAAGCTAATTTTGATTAGTTATAAAGTTTGATGGTTTCATTTATAACGAATCTCGTATTTTAATCAGATCATGTTTGGATGTATTTTCTAACAGGACGTCCTCTATGAAAAACTTTATTAACAGTAAAGCATTAAACCCTTGTCCAGAGACACGGATGATGCTCTGTCAGGTCCAGAGGAACACACAGGGATGATGGTGATGATGATGATGGTGATGATGGACTGGACTATGTGTGTGACAGTGGAGCTGTTCTCAGATAAGTTCAGACTGCAGCACTGAGTCATCTCCACTTCTTCTGATTCCTCCGTCAGATCTTTAGGAGGACCACCACTTCCATCTGTGGAGAGAAGAAGAACAGAGGAGATAAACGAGTGTTTACAGAGACTCACTTCATCAGCTGTCAGTCAGTGATGCAGCAGGGACTTCAGTCCTGTTCAGTCCAGATGTGCAGCAGCTGTGTAGCGTAGCCTGCTTCCTCTCAGCTCTCATGTTAACGTGTTGGAGTGAACACTGAGCTGGAGGCTCACAGACCTGCAGAGACTTTTAGCATCAAGTCTGTTCACTCTGCACATTTCCCTCAGTCCACAGTGGAAACAAACTGCTGAGAGTCATGAAGGTTCATCACTGCTCCAACAGGTCAGTGATGCATTCACTGTCCTGACATTTAAACAGAGTCTCTGTGTGTTGATGAACATCTGATCTGTTCCTCACATATCACCTGACAGATAAACATGGAGGCTGTCACTGAAAACATCTGGCAGAGGGACAGATATACAGATGTGCTCACTGGACTTCAGCAGAGCTTCTGTCTGTATAAAGATCACATGATCACAAAACGTCACGACGCTTCTCTGAAAGAAGAGTCAGCTCCATCAGACTGATCTCAGAGCTGTGACAGAGATCAAACTGATCAGTTGTTGAGTTTTGAAATGAGAGAACAAACTGTCTCAGATCAGATGTGACAGTTTGATGGATGAGGACACTGTCTCTGTTCCTCTGTGAGGCTGTCAGCTGTAATCAGCTTCACTTCCTGTAGACATCAACTCAACAACAACAGTCGTCTTCACATCCACTCAGACGCACGACCACGACCAGCTTCTGGCCGCTCTGATTGGCCGACTGTTCTCTCTCGCTGTCTTTCTGTCCAATCCTGACGCCTGTCACCGTTCTCCTCTCACAGCTTCACTGAGGGAAGCAGCTACTGAGAAGGTCGGAGGTTCACAGGAAACACTGGCTCTTTGCTCCGACACTGTGTTTAGTACAATACTGATGGAAGCAGCAAGGACTGACTCCGCCCCTTTTACTGACCTCAGAGTCTCCAGTCGACAGTCTGGACTCTCCTTAAGATCACGCAGCTGCTTCACATCTGGATCCTGCAGCTCGTTTCCTCTCAGGTCCAGTTGTCTCAGGTGGGAGGGGTTGGACTTCAGAGCTGAGGCCAGAGAAGAACAGCTGATCTCTGACAACCTGCAGTTCATCAACCTGAATAAAGAAGAAAAGATGAGAGTTTAGAGACAAAGTTGCTGCTTGAAGGCGCCCCCCCCCCAATCCAGAGAGCTTCATTAACTTTCAGCCATTGAACAGTGTAAATGTTAAAAAGCTGAAGAGGATTTTAGCTCATGAATATGAACCTGTCTGCAGGTTAGAGTCAACACAACTTTAACATCAGATTAATCTGAGCACAGAAATAAAACATGGAGTCTGACCTCAGAGTCTCCAGTCGACAGTCTGGACTCTCCAGAAAACCACACAGCTGCTTCACATCTGGATCCTGCAGGTTGTTGTCACTCAGGTCCAGGTGTCTCAGGTGGGAGGGGTTGGACTTCAGAGCTGAGGCCAGAGAAGAACAGCTGATCTCTGACAACCTGCAGTATCTCAACCTGAATAAAGAATAAAAGATGAGTTTAGAGACAAAGGTGAAGGCCTCTCTCCCTCTCTCTCTCTGAGTGAATGGCAGAGTGAGAGGAGCGTGGTGTTGCAGAGAGCGTTTGTGAAAGTGTGTAAGAAGGATTTTTCTTCCACTGTGTGATTGTTGATGACTTTGTGCTTCTTTTCTCTGTCATCAAAGTTGTGTCAGTTGTTTATTTGTAGGAGTTTGTTTGTTTGTTTTGTTTGGCGGCCGAGGATGGCGGTGCGAAACACTGTGATCTGTGATTCAGGTTTTTGTTTCAGATGTTTGGTTTGTTTAACGAGGTTTTCTCACAACAAATGTTCATCCTGGGCTTCAGGTACAACAGGAGAGGAAACATTAAATGTCAATTATTGAATTTTTTGTTGGGTCAAGCAAAAATGGCGATTTACCTGAGCTGGAAAAACAAGCTGGAAGACTCGGCAGATGTTGATGCAACAGTTATTTATAAGTTGATGCAAAAGGCGAGACTGAAAACTGATTTCAGTTTCTTTATGTTGATAAATAATGTAGATGAGTTGAAGAAAACATGGAGCCTCAAACAAGAGCTGTGTTTCGTAAGAGAATAAATGAGCTGGTTTTTGGTCCAATGTTTGAAATGAGTTTTAATTTATAGATATTTTTTTTTTTTTTTTTTTTTTCTTTAAAATTTCTTCTTGAGCAAATAAAAGTGGTTTGAAAAATCAAAAAAAAAACTCTCTGTCTCTCTGTTTCTAACCCCCCCCCCATTCAGAAACCTCTCCATGTGTGACGTAGGTGAGGAGGAGGTGTGTGTGTTTGTATCTGGAGTGGAGGGAACTGGAGACAGTGAAAAAAGTAAACCTCCACAGAGAGTTTTTCTGTGTTTAGAAACAGTAACTGAAGATGGAGGCAAACATATTGGTTCAGAAAAGAAACAGTAACAGACAGTAACTGACCTCAGAGTCTCCAGTCGACAGTCTGGACTCTTCAGAAAACCACACAGCTGCTTCACATCTGGATCCTGCAGCTGGTTGTTGCTCAGGTCCAGTTCTCTCAGGTGGGAGGGGTTGGACTTCAGAGCTGAGGCCAGAGAAGAACAGCTGATCTCTGACAAACTAGAGTTCTTCCATCTGAATAAAGAAAGAAAGATGTAAATCAAAGTCATTGATAATTGATCAGATGTGTCCAGAAGAAAAGTGAAAGTTGTTTTGTCAGGATGTTTTCAGTGTTTCTTTAGTGTAATTCTCATTTGAGCCACAAGAGGCAGCAGTTCACCACCACCTCAGTCTGAACACAACTACAAATATTCATGTTTCTACCAGGTGATTTCTCTTCATTGACTCTGAACACAATGTTCATACAGTTTATTGTGTGTTGTCAGTTCTAATCTCACTGTCATGTCTCAGTTTAAATGAGGTCGTCTCTGACAGGCGCTGTGCTGCACCTTCACTCTGCTCAGTGCAGGGAAACCTGTCCTGGTACAATCCATGGGAAATAAAGGGTTTCAGAGGGCAGCGGTGTCACTGTCACGCTGTGTCTGAAAGCCCCATTAGGGTCTGGCTCTCAACAACCGCTCATCCAAACCACTTCACAGAGGACACAGCACTAACTCAGGTCCTCAGCTTCACACTCACCAAGTCTGAGCTCCATCAGCTGAGCAGTTGTTGAGAAGATCAGAGGACAGAGATTTCTCCTTTTATTAGTCGGACATTAGATTCAGCTGTAAGATCTACATCAGAGAACTGACCTCAGAGTCTCCAGTCGACAGTCTGGACTCTCCACAAGCTCACGCAGCTGCTTCACATCTGGATCCTGCAGGTTGTTGTCACTCAGGTCCAGTTCTCTCAGGTGGGAGGGGTTGGACTTCAGAGCTGAGGCCAGAGAAGAACAGCTGATCTCTGTCAACAAGCAGCTCTTCAACCTGAACAAAGAAGAAAAGATGGAGATAAAGTCATTGATAATCAATCAGATATGTCCTAATCAATGATCTTCTCTGGAGTAGAGTGTGTCAGCCTTTGCCACACATCATCCAAACATCAGCACAACATTCCCAGCTGTTGCCGTCCAGCCATTAAAATGAAGGTTGTCTTATATTATAATTACCTGGTCATTCATTACAACATATATTCCTTATGACCAGTGTGACTACAGTATTTTACAGCGTTGCATTATGGGTTGTATGTAGCCTTCCAATGTTGTAGTGAGTCTCAGAGTTAATCAACCAGCAATCAGCAAGTGTTCTGTTCCTCCAGAAGCTGCAGGAGCTTCTGAAGGCTGCTGTCACATGTTCTGCTGCCACAGAGGAAATAAATTCATGAGGAGTGAAAACGAGTTCACAGCGTCTCCTGACGTCTTCACAACAGAAACCAACCGCAGAGAAAATCTGTCCAACAGCCAAGAATTACGTCACAGAAGAAGAGCTCAGAAAGACTGAAGTGTGAACAATGTTCATGTCACAGGAAATAATAATGTGAGAGCAGCTGACTCTCTACAGTCACTCAGTCAGCTGACTGAGGTGTGAAGGATTACGTCAGAGCGAAGAAATATATCAATAAAAACTGGAATCATGGGGGTGATTTAGACTGAAGACCACGAGACTGTATTAGGTTCAGTGCTGGATTAAAGATGGAAGATCTACAACAGTGAACTGACCTCAGAGTCTCCAGTCGACAGTCTGGACTCTCCAGAAAACCACACAGCTGCTTCACACCTGGATCCTGCAGGAAGTTTTCACTCAGGTCCAGTTCTCTCAGGTGGGAGGGGGAGATACCATATCAGACATCTGTTCTCTAAAATGACTAGAGTGTGTGTGTGTGTGTGTGTGTGTGTGTGTGTGTGTGTGTGTCTGTACATGTCTGTACTGGACATGCTCTCTTTGAGCCTTGAGATAACTTCTGTTGTGTTGTGATGCTATAAATAAAAGTTGACTTCATCTAGTCTCATGTTACCCCCCTTTCCCCTGGACCAACTGAGGGTCCTAACATCAAACATTGTTTAGAAAGTTGCTCCCAACAGAAGTTCCCACTAACGTGTCACTTTCAGGCTGCTTTGCTTCAGCTTCTGTCCAGTTCATCCCACACCAGCTACATGGGGTTCAGGTCTGGAGACTGTGCTGGTCTTCATCATGTGAAGCCTCCATCTACAGAGTTTTCTCTACCATTATAAGACTGATGTTCAGGGCCTGAACTGACTGAAGGGAGAAACTGCTGAGAGCTCCCTGCTGCTCTGACAACTGGAATCATGGGAGTGTTTAGACCAGTAGTGTACATGAGACTCAGGGGTGGATTAAAGACATAAGATCTATAACAGACTAGGGTTGTCACCAGAACCGATACTTTGGTGCCAAGTCACAAGAAAGGGGACGGTTACCCGTTTTTTCGCGGTATGGAAGGCAGCTAAAAATACCGACACGTGACGAGATCGATCATCACCCTCTTAGGAAGTAACGTAAGACTGACATCCTGTTCAGGGAGGCAGGTGAACGAGTGCTCTTCACGCTGCTCGTGCATCAGGTCTCATCGTGCACAAGCAGCATGTCATTAACTGTATGAGCAACTTATCTCATGGTGCAAAGGTGTCTTACCTCAAAAGTGACAGTAATCTACCAGAAACATGTGTAAAGAACATTAACACTAATCACTGCATCACTGGTGACACGAGTGACTCGGACACATTTAAACAGTTTCTCCGGCACATGCTCAGCCTCTGCCCGAGGGAGGAGGAGGAACGTCCACGACCAGGCTGCGGTCTAGCCCCAATAACAAATGGAAGATGGCGACAAGTTCAGGCACGAAACTTGGTCCAGCTGCAGCACCTCGACTTTGTCCTTCTGTTGTTGTGGATCATCATCATGTCACATCTACTCACATCATCCACATGTCAGAACAACATTCACACACCTGTTCATGTCAACACACATTCATCAGCTGCTGCTGACCTCAGTACAGTCTGTCAATATACAATCAATATCTGATCGGACGTGTTGGACTAAGATCAGTTCATTATCTAACGTATCACATGACCTTCTTCTTCCTGTGTTGGTGTCTCAGCAGGTTCGTGTCATTAAACAACGTTAAAGGAGTTTGATGTTTTGTGTCTTGAACAGTCACATTGTGATGACGAGGTGTTGTGGCAGCGATCCTTCCTGCTCCACACTGACTGTGAAGTCTCTTCCTAACACAGCTACTGTCACAATGACTTGATGAGTTCATGTGAAGCTGAATGAAGCTTCAGAGTCTGAGTCACACAGATCCAGAGTCTGTCCACAGAGTCCCTGTTTAGTACTAAATGTCCTCTGTGAGTTCCTGTCCCTCCATGACTGAATCACTATTATTAGAGCCCAGATTTACCACTAATACTCAACCATCATGATCATTCTCCCCCCAGCCCCCCCCAGCCTCATCAGTCCTCACTTCATCTTCACTGATGGACAACATGAACCGCAGGAAGCTGAAAAACCGTCAAACATTTCCCCGTCATGACTCGACTTCTGCCGGCCTCTAAATAAACCCTGCTCCTGTCTTTATGTCTGATTCTGAACTGCAGTCAATGAGATGAATTATCTACAAACCCACAACAGCTCCAGTCAGTGAACTGACCTCAGAGTCTCCAGTCCACAGTTTGGACTCTCCAGTCCAGCAGACAGGATCCTCACTCCTGAATCCTGCAGCCTGGTGTCACTCAGGTCCAGGTGTCTCAGGTGGGAGGGGTTGGACTTCAGAGCTGAGGCCACGACTTCACAGTGAGTCTCTGAGAGTCCACAACCAGCAAACCTGTCATGACACGTTCATTACACAGAGTCATTATGTAAGAGGACACTTCATATTGACTTCAAGCATGTGATGATCAAACAGTTTGACACGTCCTGTGTTGATCCATATTCTCTCTTCATCACTGGTTCAGTTCATCTGATCTCACTGTGTTTGACAGGAAACAATCATTCTCATCAGTCTCTCTCACACCTGCAGAGTTTCAATCCTCTTTCAGATGAAGAGAGAAGATGTGGTCACAGTCAGTCTTCCATAATGTCCACAGTCTGTCAGTGAGATCTGATCCATGTGGTCTCCACAAAGTTCCCATGAGGCCATGTTGATTAGAAAACACTGTTTTAAAGTGACAGCAGGATATTTTCACTGAGTTCAGCTCAGTGAACAATGACAGTTGGTAAAGATGATCTGTGTTTGATACCTGCTGCTGTCAGCTTCACCATCATCAGCTCGGTACAGATGAACACATCAGCTGATCGCACCTGTTTAATATTTCTATCATTTCATATGAAGACGTGCGTCACAGATGACTGAATGAAGTTTTCTTGTCAACACTCTTTTTCAGCACAAAAACACAAAGTGATAAAGTTGAATTAATGTCACCAGAAAGATGTTATCAGTCTTTAGGATCTCCATCTCCAGACTCATGGAAATGGTTTTTAACTGTTCCATTATAGAAACAATAACAAGAACTCATCAAGATTTTACCAATGAATTCATCAATCCAGAAACAGACGAAATTACTACGTATTTTATCAACTGATATTTAAATTCAAATAATTTACAGATGAATATGAATCCATCAATAAATGTCAAATTAAAAAGAGGTTTAGAAAAACCATTAAAACAAATACATCATTTAAAATGAGATAAAAAGCTGCTATGATAAAACCTGGACCAGTTCTTCATTTGTTTGATCAGGTTTTCCTTCGTCTCCATCACCCAGAGGAAGATGAATCAATCATTAGACATAAACAGAATAACTGTTCATTAACTTGACAACTATAAACACAACTGAAAAATCTATATTCAGCATTTGAAACAGCTCAAGATCATCTGTGACAAAATACAATGGACACAGTGAAACTCTATTTTAAGAAGAAGAATTTTATAGTTTTTATCTGAAAAACTTCACAACTAATCTCCATAATGATTCATGATAATCACATGTGGACTCACCGAGCCTTCCTGCAGTTCCTCACAGCTGGGATCAGTCTCTGTCGTCCCTCCTCTGATGTGTTGTACTCCTTCAGGTCCAACTCATCCAGAACCTGCTCTGACATCTGCAGCATGTAGGCCAGAGCTGAGCAGTGGATCAGAGAGAGTCTCTCCTCTGATCTGTTCTCTGACTTCAGGAACTCTTGGATCTCCTGATGAACTGAGTGATCCTTCATCTCCGTCAGACAGTGGAAGATGTTGATGCTTCTGTCAGGAGAGATTTTTGGCCTCTTCCTCTTCAGGTTGGTGATGGCTCTCTGGATGGTTTGTGGACTGTTCTCTGTGTGACCCAGCAGACCTCCTAAGAGTCTCTGGTTGGACTCCAGAGAGAGGCCATGAAGGAAGCGAACAAACAGGTCCAGGTGACCAGTTTTACTTCTGAAGGATTTCTCTATGGCTGCCATCAGAAACTCGTCTATTGATGAGTAATAGTCAGTGTCGCTGAATGAATCATCATCAACCACATCTTTTCGGAAGCCCTTCAGGACCTCAGTCTTCCTGTTGGTGTAACAGTGGAACATGTAGACTGCAGCCAGAAACTCCTGAACGCTCAGATGAACAAAGCAGTAGACTGTTTTCTGGAAGATCACACTCTCTCTTCTGAAGATCTCAGTACAAAGTCCTGAGTACACCGAGGCCTCTGTGACATCAAGACCACACTGCTCCAGGTCTTCTTGGTAGAATATGATCTTTCCTTTCTCCAGATGTTCAAACGCCAGCCTCCCCAGCTTCAGAAGAACTTCCCCGTCAGCCTCCGTCAGCTCCTGTGGACTCGTCTCACGTCCCTCATGGTACTTGTTCTTCTTCCTCTGTGTCTGAACCAGCAGGAAGTGTGAGAACAGGTCAGTCAGGGTCTGGGGCAGCTCTCCTCTCTGGTCTGTGGTCAACATGTGCTCCAGAACTGTAGCAGTGATCCAGCAGAAGACTGGGACTTGACACATGATGTGGAGGCTCCTGGACGTCTTGATGTGTGAGATGATTCTGCTGGACAGCTCTTCATCACTGGATCTCCTCCTGAAGTACTCCTCCTTCTGGGCGTCAGTGAAGCCTCGTACTTCTGTTACCCTGTCCACACATGTAGGAGGGATCTGATTGGCCGCCGCAGGTCTGGAAGTTATCCAGACGAGAGCCGAGGGAAGCAGATTCCCCCTGATGAGGTTTGTCAGCAGCACGTTGACTGATGACTCCTGTGTGACATCAGACACAACCTCCCTGTTATTGAAATCCAGTGACAGTCTGCTTTCATCCAGGCCGTCAAAGATGAACAGAACTTTACAGACAGCGAGCTGCTCTGCTGTGACCTTCTGTAATGTTGGATGGAAAACATGGAGCAGCCTGAGAAGACTGTACTGCTGATCTCTGATCAGGTTCAGCTCCCTGAACGAAAGCAGAACCAGCAGACTGACATCTTGGTTCTCCAAGCCCTCTGCCCAGTCCAGAGAGAACTTCTGCACTGAGAAGGTTTTTCCAACGCCAGCGACGCCGTTGGTCAGAACCACTCTGATGGGTCTCTGCTGGTCAGGTAAGACTTTAAAGATGTCGTGGCACCTGATTGGAGCGTCATGGAGGGTCTCCATCTTGGAAGTTGTCTCCAGCTGCCTCACCTCATGTTGGGTATTAACCTCTTCACTCTGTCCCTCTGTGATGTGGAGCTCAGTGTAGATCCTGTTGAGGAGGGTTCCACTTCCTGTTCCATCAGTTCCTTCAGTCACATGTTCACATCTGCTCCTCAGACTGATCTTATGTTGATGTAAAACCTCCTGCAGACCACTATCTGCTGAAAGAGAAGAGACAACGTCAGACTGAAGAAAGACAATCTGAGAATCTGATGATTATTTTCATCAGCTGCAGAAAAACTAAAGACAAACAGAGAAAAGGTTTTAATGTTGTGGTATTTATAATCATCTTAAAGGTCGATGCTGTGTGATGTAACAAATGACTCTGTATAAAACAACAGGTCCTGGTTTCAGAAATGATGACATCATCATACAGATGTTCAGTCTCACTTTGTTCAGTGCTGGTCTGACGGGCTGTCTGCAGTCCAGGTCTTGTTCTGGGTCTTTTTCCACACTGGGGACAGGAGGAGTCTCCTGAAGAACCAGACTGGTCCCAGTATGAGGTGAAGCACTGTCTGCAGAACCAGTGTCCACAGCTGGTAGAGACTGGATCCTTCAGGATGTACTGACACAGAGCACAGCAGGACAGCTGCTCCTCCACAGAGACATCACTCCTCTTCCTCCCTCTGTGGACACATGAAAAGACTTGTTTTTTCGTGGCTGCTTCACACACATATTCAACCTAGCAGCACAGAAGATCAATACAATCATCACACATCATTATTGTCACCAGTTCAGTCTCCGTCCACACGTGATATATGGTCACAGCCCCTCCTTCTGTCTGCCCCCGCCAGAGGTGTTTTTGCAGAACATTATGATGTCAGAGTGAAGTTGACCTTTGATCTTTTGGATTTAAAATGTCACCACTACATCCTTTTAACCTATGAGACATTTGTGTTGAATTTTGTCTTAATTAGCATGTGACCTTTGATCTTTGACCACCAAATTCTGATCAGATCATGTTTAAGTGTGAGTGAACACCTGGAAAAAGTTCATCCAAGGCCGTCCAGAGATATCGCTTTGACAAGAACGTGACAGATGGACAACCTGAAAAAATAATGCCTCTGGTCCTGACTGTGTCCAGCAAGGAGGAGTAAAAAAAGGGGCCACAAATCCTCAGTAGAGATCCACCCAGGACACCTACTACTGCTAATGGTGAAATACATTTCAACACTGAGTCATCTTCAGCTCAGTTTACAGTAGAAAAAGTGTCTTACTGTGTGTCTGAGCGTCCAGGTTCATTACTGAAGAACAGAGGAAATTCTTTGGACTGGTCACTCTTCATAGACCAACAGCTGGGGACTGGAGACCCTGCTCTGTCCTCCTCTTCCTCCAGACCACTCATCATCTTCACAGATCACTGTCAGAAGTAAACCTGCATCACTGCAGACACACCTGTAAAGTTAGCAGATTCATGTTTATTCTACATTCGTATCATTAAAACCATGTGTATTTTCTACAAAGACAAACTTTGACTGTGGTTTAAACTGGTCCGACTTCAGATAAACGTCACATGTAGCTGTGAGAGCACAGAAACCAGGAAAATAAAACAGGAAACAACATTTGAAGATGTTATCTTGAGCTCTACTACACTGACTTCATATCTAAAATACAGTAGAACTAAAGAGAAAAATCAGCAGATAAATCAATTGTTTCCTCCTTCAACTGTCGACTTCAAAATGGAGGCTAGGCTGACGTTATACTTTCACTTTCACCTTTTCTCCCTGTTTGCCGCCTCTTCTTCTCTTATTTAAACCCGTGTTTAAACCTGTAACTCCATATTATCTTTTCCTGCTAGTACCTTTGTAGCTACAGTCCCAGAAAACTCGGGATAAAACAACTTTTCTCTTCGGTTTACACTTTAACTGCTTGAGTAGACGCGACTTTGCCTCTGTTCACGCTCAAAGAACAGAACAGGTTCGCCTCCACTGTTCGCTTCGTCCTGTTTCGACGAATCGATGGCATTAACATCTATGCAACACCTCCTCCTTCTATGTAACAGATACAAGTTTTGATAATCGACGTTTAAAATCGCTCCCAACTTTATATAATAACTTCCAACTGAAACTGTGAGGAGGAATTTAATTTTAGAGCTTTCGGATAAGTTTTCGGACAGTTCGCGCTCGGTTAGCAAGCGACCTGGATATAACAACGACCTAAATTTACTAAAAACATTTATTTTCCGGTAAACTTCAGGTCTGTGTTCAGACACGAAGTTAAACAGATTGCTCACAAACTACAGTCCAACTGGAGACAAAACTAGAGCCACTGACAGAGAAAAAAAATAACAATAATAGTGTAAACCTTACGCTGCGTCACCACCGGTCCGCCATTTTCAACGGTCAGACTTCCTGTCCTTCATCTCCCTTCACAATAAAAGCGTCAATTCCATATGTCAAACACCATAACAGAGTATTACGGCCACAGTGACGGACAGGCGGAAAAAAGAGAAATCTGAAATTTCGAGAACAAAGTCGTAATCTTACAAGAATAAAATCGTAATCTTGAGAATAAAATCATAATATTTCAAGAAAAAAGTCATAACATTACGAGAATAAAGTCGTAATTTTACGAGAATAAAGTCATTTTACAAGAAAGAAAAATCATAATTTTACAAGAAAGAAGTCATAATATTCCAAGAATAAAGTGGTAATCTTAGAAGAATTAAAAATTAAAATTTTTGAGGGAAAAAAAACATAATTTTTTAGGAATAGTACAACAACCAATCAAATGGGTGAAAGGACAGAACAATAGAATAGACTCAGTTTCTTCACAATCTTTTCCATGTGCTGATGATGATGATGAGTCAAAAGATGAAGTTTCTCCTTATTAGTGAAACCTCTGCTAAAGTAGAACTTCACAGGATGCTCCATATTCTTCATTTTAAAGCTTCAGATGTTTCCCTTCAAAACACAGAACCTAAAATTACAACTTTATTCCCATAATATTATGACTGTAAAATTATGACCTTTTTCTGATAAAATTATGACTTTATTCTTGAAATATTATTTTATTCTCAAAATTATTACTTTATTCTAGTAATTTCAGATTTTTTTTTCCTCAGTGTGGCTCTAATACTCCGTATAAACTTGAACAGGCCGACCATGTTTACAGTTGAAGCTGGAGGGAGCTCTGGTTCAGGGTCAGTTTGACTATGCTGCCACCTCCTGGTGTAAAGGAGCATCTCAGCTCCTCAAAAATAAACAAGGTACGAAACCAAGTCAATAAAGGTCATGTTAAAACTTAACACATTCTTAACCCATTCACACATGTGGAGTCTGAGCACCTCTGAAGGCCTTAAGGGATCACTTGTCACTGATAAAGATAGTCAGAGTCAGGCCCCTCTGAACGTCAGCAAATTACCTCAATATATTGTTCATGTATGTCCCATATAACATGTAAAACATGACACCATGTTAAAGCTTTGTGCACATTTACACATTTTGTCACCTTCATCCAATGAGCAAGTTTATTTTATGACAGAGGGGGAGGTAACTGCTTTAGTCATCTTCTACATATTTGATTTAAATAAAATGAAATAATTACTCAGTGGAGGTGGAAGGTAAGTGAGGAGGTTTAAATGAGGGATGTACCTGAATGCAGCAGCAGGTGAGTCCAAATGAAAATAAAACTAATGACGTATAAAAAGAAAAAAAATCATCAAGATGTTTTATTTATTGCTTCATCAACAGCAACATAAACAGTACATTTATAAAACAGGACAAGACTATCAGAACTTCAGTTTATCTCCATGGAAACACATCAGTCTCGTCGTTTAGTCCCTGTGTGGACTTGACATGAGGACAGCGAACGCATCACGTTTAAATTCAGCCTGACTGTCACACCTGCGCCTTCATGTTAAAACACTACATTTCCCAGAGTGCCCATGGGCACACAGGAAAAAAAAAGTTTTAGAAAAAGGCATTTTAGGAGAAAGAGGTTCAGGAGGTGATCAGGTTTGTCTCATCTGAATCTCTCTGTGAACTAGAAACTATAAATACATTAATTTAACAATAAAATCTATGTTTGTACAGATTCATTTAAAATTTTACACCAAAGTAACAAAGCAGACTTTAGATTCTTTACCTCTATAAAACAATGTACATACAGTCTGTACATAAAGAATGAGTAAAGTTTGATATCTGACTCATTCTAACCCCAGGTACAGCAGATAAACAGCTTCACTCACATCTGGGATAAAATCTATTAGAACAATGATTTATTGATTTAAACTCTCTCCACCAATCAGTAGCTGCGGCTAAAATGAAAGGCATCAATAACAATACGATGGACACGCCCATTTATGATGTCACACAGATCAATATGGAGACATGATAGTTAAATAATGTCAAAAGTGATTATTTCTGTAATAAATAATATTTTTTACAGTTATATTATTCTGAAACCTTTGAGTCTTCTTCCTGTTGATTATATCTAAAATTGATAGGAGGATTTCTGAGAGAGTTTAATGGCTCTTTGTTCATCAGACAAACTCTCCACCTGGAGTTATCGGTAATTAAAACTTCCCTTCCTGCTCAGACTCGCTGTTAGTAATCAGTGAAGTTTCTCTACATTTACACACTGATGTGCAACTGCAGCTGGAGAGTCTCAGTCCAGTGTTCCCTCTCTGAGCTCTGGGTTTGGTCTCCACCAGCTCTCTGACTAAGTCTGTCAGTGATGATCCAGGTCCGTATTCAATAAGTGTTTCATCTGACCACTAAGAGTCGCACTAAAAGTTTCTGACAAAGGTTTCTCCTAAATCCTCTTCACAGCTGCTGAGACCAACTTCACTGAGGAAAAGTGAAAACTCCTGAACTAAGAGTGCAACTCAGTTCTTATGTCTGACGTCATGATGAAAACACACGTGACCATCCTGCAGTAAATAAACTAGAACCTGCTCCTCCTCCACTCCAGGTCACATCCTGTTTATCCAGTCAGAGCAAATATTACATATCAACCATCAGTGTGACATCTTGTCATAATTAATGAATCATAAAGTTTGGACTGACGCTCATTATTTTAAGTTGGGAGAAACCTTTATCTGTAAGATGTCTGCATACGGGTCCTGATCATCAGAGCCAATGAAACTCCTTCAGATGTGTCTACACTGAACCTCAGAGACCACCAGAGATCTGATTGGTCCAGCACACCTCAATCACCCACTGGCCCCCTCCCACCTCCAGAACGGCAGCCCTGAGGCGACTCCTCAGACTCCCAGAGCCTCCCCAGCCAATCACACGCCAGCCTGCCGCCACTTCCTGTCCCTCCATCCTCCTCTTCTTCTTCTGTGGTAAGCGGCTCGACTTGAGCGCAGCGAGTCGCGACAAAGTCCAGAGAGACGCCAGATGAGGACGTCATGCTGCCTCCCCCTCCTCCCCTCCTTCATCCCCTCCTCCATCTTTCTCTTCCTCCTTCTCTTCTTCCTCTCCTTCACCTGCATCTTCTCCTCCTCCCTTCTCCTCCCTCTGTACATCCTCCTTCCTTTCCTCCTCTTCACCGCTACCTCCTGCCTCCTCCCCCACTTTCCCTCCTTCCTCCCCCTCTGTTCCATCCTCCTCCTCCCTCACTCCTTCATCAGTCTCCTCTTCCTCCTCCACTTTCTCCTCCTCCTCCTCCCTCACTCCTTCACCAGTCTCCTTTTCCTCACCCACTTCCCCTCCTTCCTCCCCCTTAGTTCCATCCTCCTGCTCCTCCCTCACTCCTTCATCAGTCTCCTCTTCCTCCTCCACTTTCTCCTCCTCCTCCTCCCTCACTCCTTCACCAGTCTCCTTTTCCTCACCCACTTCCCCTCCTTCCTCCCCCTTAGTTCCATCTTCCTCCTCCTCCCTCACTCCTTCACCAGTCTCCTCTTCCTCCTCCACTTTCTCCTCTTTATTCACACCCTCCTCCTTCCCTCCTCCCTCCTCTCCTCCATCTGTCTCTGCTGTCTCCCCCTCCCCCTCTCCCTCTGTCTCCCCACGTCGGCAGGTCTCTGTAGTATCAGTGTCCTCACAGACCGTCTCTGTCTCTGGGTCTTTACCTGGCTCCTGATCAGGTTCAGGTTTGCTTTCTGTTTCTGTCTCTGTGCAAAGCTCGGGGTCCTGGTCCCGGTCAGGTTTACAGCTTGACTCTGGTCCTGTTGAGTCCAAAGCTGCTGGCTGAGAGGGGAGAGACTCCTTTCTCCCGAGACCTGCAGACAGGAAGAGTTTGATATGATTCTGTTTCGTCTCCATGGAGACGCTTCAGCCAAAATAAACAATTGATCAATTAGTCGATCGCCAGAAAATCTGCAGCCAATAATCAATGAGTTGTGAAAAAGTGATGTGAATCTGTTTCAGCTGACGTCACTTTTCTTAAAGTTGATATTAATCGATTGATAGATTATCAGAAATTAAACCTTCAGAATAAAAGTCTGAGTGAACAACAGGTTTAAAATGTGTTTTAAGGACCTGAGGCTGCTCTCAGAGGTCAGAGGTCACAGCCCCTCATCAGTGTTTCTCTTCGCTGCACCTATGACCACGCCCAGCAGTGATGTCACGGTGTCCTGGAGTACACTGTGACATCACTGCAGCCTCATCCCACCTGTCGACCATTAACTGCAGGGTTGGCGGTTCGATTCCCGACTGTCGATGAATGATGACGTGTGTGACCACAGTCTGGCATGGTGGCTGTCTGCCGTGTGTGTGTGTGTGTGTGTGTGTGTGTGTGTGTGTGTACCTGCGGGGGTTAATACGAGCGCCTGCAGGATGTCGGACAGAGAAACGATGCCGACAATTCGAGATTCCTCATCAACGACAACCAGCCTGTGAACCTGCACACACTCACACACACACACACACACACACACAAAAAGAGGAAGAGTTCTTGAATTAATGTTTACATTTATTCTGTGCTGCTTGTCTCCGTGTCTTCCCTCCTTGTTTGGTGACGTCACCCACAGGTTTCTGTAGCTCAGAGTGAGCTGCTCCATCGTCGCCATCTTGGCAGTGTCTGACTCCGCCCCTAACTCTCAGCTAATACAAATATGGTCAAAGAGGGGGGGTGTGTGTGGAGCTGAGACTCACCCACCTGTCACTCAAAGAGGCCACGCCCTCAATCCTCCATAACTTTAGTCCATAATAAAATGTGAACAGGTGAGTTATATAAACAGGTGAGTTATATAAACAGGTGTCATGAAGGAGGAAATTAGCTCTAGAGACCAAAACAGTTTTTGTACCAGGCTGTAAACATATTTATTTCTGCTGTAAAGTTGGACATTTTAACATGGGAGTCTATGGGGACTGACTCACTGCTGGAGCCAGACTCTAGTGGTCATTAGAGGAACTGCAGCTTTGGTCTAAACAGCAGGCGTTTCCTGCTTCGTGGTGACACACGACTTCCCCGAACAGAGCGCTGACCACATTTGTCTGAAAGCCTGATCAGTGTGTGTGTGTGTGTGTGTGTGTGTGTGTGTGTGTGTGTGTGTGTGCGTGTGTCTGTGTCACCTCAGCCTTCACGATGCGGTCCACGATGGTCTCCAGTGTTTCCAGCTTGTTGCACTTCATGACTCCTTCGAAGTACTGGGACCGGTGTCTGAGAGCCTGAGTGACCGTCACGTCCAGGTTGTTGTAGGTCTTCTCTGCTGCCAGGTTCTGTTCACACACATCACACTCAGCTGCTGTCCACAGTCAACACAACTCTGAGACTGTAGTGTCCCCAGAGGACACGCTTACTCACAATGACGTCAAACTTGGAGTAGATGTCCACCACTTTACCTGCAAACAGACCACAACATGTTCAGACTCTTCTGTGACCCCACCCCTCCGTCACACAGCCTTCAGTCTCACAGGTGTCTTATAAAGCAGCAGTGGTGTTGTGCTGTCTGACAGTTACCATGGTGATCAACGACGGGCAGGGCGGACACGCGGCGGTGCGTGAAGACAGAAAGCGCGGTGATGAGCGCCGTGTCGGGGTGGATGTAGGCGATGTTGGCGTACGTCCCCACGCCGAGCTCCTCCAGAGTCTGCTTCATGAAGGCCGGCATGGGCATCTCACACACCTGACACACACACACAGGTTTATTTATGTTTGATCAACAACAGCTGCAGGTGAGCAGGTGAGTCAGGTGAACAGGTGTAATGAGCAGTCTGTCCACCAGGGGGCAGGAGCTCTCTGCTCAACACTCACAAACAGCTGCAGGAACTTGAGGATCCTCTTGTGTGTGAGGATGTAGAGAGCGTTCCCGCTCACTGGGTCGATGACGGGAAGACGATGGATCTTATTCTTTATCAGCGAGTACACAGCCTCAAATATACTGGGGGTGGGGGTGGGGGGGTGTGTGTGTGGGGTGGGGTGAAGACAAGACAAGAAGAGTTTATGAATTAATGTTTACATTTATTTTGTGCTGCTTGTCTCCTTTTTCTCCTCCACTCCTTTCCTTATTTCCTTTCCGTGTTTCCTCTCCTCTCTCCTTCTCAGTTTATTTTCAGCTCTTAGTAAATTATTCAGTGATTCTGACTCCAGATGCCTGAACAGTCTAATAATAACGCCACACACAAACACACAGACACACACACACAAAAACACACACACACACCTGGCATCAGGTGAGATGTGGACCAGAGGTTTGAAGGTCTCCTGCAGGTACAGCTCTGTCAACATAAACATACGTTTTATTATGACACATATATGATATATGATCTCAGAGAACTGCAACACACACACACACACACACACACACACACACACACACACACACACACACACACACACACACACACACACAAGTGAGAAAAAGGTCTTTACCTCTCCACGTCTCGATCTTATGTTCCTCCAGCTCATAGATCTGAACCTGATGGAGACACAGACACTTTGACTGTGCTGCTGTTTAATACTTAGAGATCAGCAGCAGCTGGAAGATTCTCATTATTATTATTTCATTTGATTTCCTGTTTCCTCTGAACAGAAGTCTGAACATGATCTTCTCACCTGTCAACATCTGAAATAAAAAACATTGATCTGATGTTACGTCCATGTTTTCTGTATGTGTGTGTGTGTGTGTGTGTGTTACCATGGGGGAACTGTAGTATCTGGTCAGGATGTTGATGAAGTCTGTGATGGTCAACATTCCTGACAAACAGAAAGATCAATGACCTCAGACTGGATGAAGATTGTGTTACTGCTAAACCTAAGGCACGCACACACACACACACACACACACACACACACACACATACACACACTCTCTTACCCACAAAGCTCTGTTTTTTGCTTTCCCACAGTGGAGCAGCTCTCACTCCATTTGCCACAAGAGCAAAGAACGCTTTCTTCACCTGAAACAACAACAACAATCAGAACTAGAAAACTCCTGGAGACTTTTTGAATGTGCCTGCTACTCGCTGCGTTTCAATCTCTACAGAGGACGTCACATCCATGTGTGTGTCACTGTGTGTCACAGTGGTGTGTGTCAGTGTGTGTGTCAGAGTGTGTCAGTATGTGTCAGTGTGTGTGTGTGTCAGTGTGTGTGTCAGATTGTCAATGTGCGTGTCAGTGTGTGTATGTGTGTCAGTATGTGTCAGTGTGTGTGTCAGTTCTTCAGTGTGTGTGTCAGTATGTGTCAGTGTGTGTGTCAGTTCTTCAGTGTGTGTGTCAGTATGTGTCAGAATGTGTTGGTGGATGTTGCTCACTCACCTGCAGCGTGGTGTCGAAGACCACCAGTTTAGAGCTGGTGGGGATGATGTCGTAACACTTGTGACACTTCATGAAGCGCATGTAGATGTCTCTCTCAGACTCCTCCGACACTGCAGACACACAAACAGTGAACACATCTCACTGGAGTTCAGGTTGTTGTTGTAATTAAACTGCTGAAGGTCACAACTTCTTCTTCTTCTAGGGTTTCTGTCTGCTATATGATCTCACACATTTCTAGCTTTCTACTCCTCTGCATTTATCACTTTAACAGTACCAGGTTCCTCTGCACATTCAGGTGAATCATATAAAATAAAATCTACTCATTAATGATGTTGCTTAATTGAGGTTCAAATAAGACATTGATCAGAGGGAAACTCAGAACCCACCAGCAGCTGCACCATTATACTGATGAACACAGTAATGTATCAATAAGTAATTAATCCAGTAATATAACATTTGTTAGTCTGTAGTGGGCTGTTCTTCATAATGAGTGCTGTGATTAACGAGCTGCGATCAGCTGATCCTTTCTCAATGTCGGTCACAGAGAGATGTCACAGAGTGATGCGTCGTCACTCACAGACAATCTCAGCTGATTAACCATCAGACTGAAGTTTGACAGTAATTAACATTAATTTGCTGCAGCTGATATAATCTACCACTGCTGACGTCAGCTGACTGTTTCCACTGGTTTGTGTCCGCAACTAGCTCCAACATGGAACCGGTTCACAAACTTGTGGCAGAGCCTCATGGGTATGTCACAGTCAGGACCTGGTCCCAGTCTGAGACCAGTCCTCTGTGCCGAGTGACATCACTTCCTGTGAGATCACACATGAACACTGCTGAGTCAAAGAGACAAAGTGAGACCAAATAGTGGCAGTGAGGCTCGCTCGCCCTTCAGATTATCATAATACTATTAACAACAATGTGTATGTTGTTCATTGCCTAATCTGTACGGGATGGTTGCCGTGGTGACTTCAGAACTGATCAGCTGAGCCTGTCTATGAGCCATCTGTTGTCATGACAACAGAACAGCTGATGGCTGGTTGCTCAGCATCTGGTTCTCTGACTGCCAGGTGTTGTGCTGAAGTGTGTCCTGGACACAGCTGAGTTAAATCCTGCCTCCTGATTGGCTGGTAGAGGAGGAGGTTTTACCTGCGTCTGGTCCGGCAGCAGATTGGTCGACTTCTCTGACAGTAAAGTTGACACCGTGTCCTGCTGTTGTCCTGTGTGAACAGTGACTCAGCTAAAAACAAACGGACACGATGAGACTTGACTCTGAGTGTGATCAACCGATGATTCAAATCACTGATATTCTGGGAGCCGCTCTATTTTCTAATCACACACTCGTCATCGTCTCAGATACAGATAATGGATGTGCAGCACACTCCAGCGATTAGTGTCATCTCTCACCTATCACCTCACTTTTAATTTGAAAAGCCCAAACAGGATCCAGTTCCAGCCATGAGGTACTTAATACAGTCTGAATGAGTTAATTTATCTCGTTACCTCAAGGTCAGAGAATAATTATGGAGAAATTGAGAGTATAGATCATTAGATCACACCTGAATTCAGCCTTCATCATCATCATCATCACTGTCTGTCAGGGAAGATTCATGACTGACCAGTGGGTCGAGGCAGAAATGTGACGTCTTGCTTGCTGTGGTTCTGTCATTAGAGCAGACGATCCCGTTCCAAGGTAAACATTATAATTCAGTGTTTCTGCAATTACTCAAATCTGCAGAGGGCTCTTAATTTGATAAGATAGATACAGGAAGTGCAGACACGTGGTGACACCTTGCCGAGGTGAGATGGAGAGAGAGAAAGAGAAGAGGTTTATCTACTAACTTTTTACTGGCCCTCTGTGTGCCTGTCATTCAGGGTGTGCATGAGAGCGTGGTCTGTGGGCTCACTGTACACACCAAACCTGAGCATCAATGTGGATTAATCCTGAAAATAGTCCCCAACACATGTACTTGTCCCTCCTGTTAGTTTGATAAGAACTAAAGTGAGGACATGAATGAGGAACATTGATCAACAGTCTCACCGGCATCATCGTGATCCGGCTGCTCCGACATGCTGTCTGCAACCTCCACCTGCCGACAACGACACAGGACAGTCTGTCAGTCAACAAACAGAAGTCTATGAAAATCTCTGCAGACCTGGACCAGTACAGACTGATCCAGTCTGCTGTCCTGGTAACATTATCCAACATATTTATGTCTGAGTCAAATTAACACAGAGAAAACTAAGACTAAAAGACTGAATAATTATTAAAACAACTGGATCCACAGGAAGAGCTTCACCAATCATCCTGTGACACTCAGTCACACTCAGCCTGTGTATATTCTCATTTGTCCAGGTCCATGGTTATCCTAAAGGAGTTTTTTTTTTTTTTTTTTAATCAAAACGCAACTGGACTTTGATTATTTGTCTGGGAAGACGTTTCACCTCTCATCCAAGAGGCTTCATCAGTTCGTGTACGCATCTGACCAGGCTGGGACTGGTCTAACTTTCTGGTGTGGAGACCCAAGTATTTAACCTCTTGTGGGCGTTCACAAGGCTGATGATGTCATTGGTTTCTGTTTGTGCTCCAAGTGTCAACGACAGTCGTTTGCACGACCGTTGTTGGTGGGAAGTTGGTTTCGACTTCGTTAGTTGCTCTATTGTGTTATTACGACAGTCGTAGGAGTCACTTGGGATCAATGACAGTCGTTGGCATGACTATTGTTGGTGAAAAGTTGGTTTCAACTTCGTTAGTTCTCTACGACAGTCGTTGGAGTCATTTGCCACTTGTGAACAGTTGTTATGCTTTGAGGCTAGATTGTTGAATCTCCTGGGAAGGGATGAAAGGGCAACATTGTAAATTGGAGATAGATGGTGTCTGAGACCTCCTCCCCTGTTGAGGGATGGTTTGTTCAGTCACACTGAAACTCGGTTTATAAAGAGCCCAGAGAAAAGTTAGAGGCTGCAGCAGCAGAAACTACTTTCAGATCTATTGTGAAATCAACCAATGCTGAAAACGGCCAAATTTAACTGTCGATTGATTGATTGATTGATTGATTGATTGACTGATTGATGATCTGACAACACTGAAAATCACATGACTCTAATGTGGTTTATTCTGGCTGCAGACTGAGTTTGATCAATTAAAACCCATGTTATATTTAATATTTCATCACACAGATGCAGGAGAGAGGTGACACTGCTCTGACATGAACTCGTGTATTAATACATTCAGTTATTAAATATAGTGCATCTCTAAGCGGCCTGCAGCACGAGACACGTCAGTGTAAAGGACTCTAACGTGCGGACGCTGGTGCAGGTGAGGGGGCGGTGGAGCGGTGATGGAGGAGCCTGTTGTCACGGAGGAGAAGCGGCGGCGGCCTCAGTGTTGATATGATGGAGTCGGAGCTGCTGCTACATCACTGATGAAACGTACAGTACGTGACGTTAGCTAGCACCTACTTGACAGTCGCCGTTCATTAACGATCTTTTTCTCTCTTTCCCGCTGCTCGGTGTCTTTTAGCCGCTGATGTCGACCTCGGGATGTTTGACCGGAAACGAATAAAATCCTCACGGCTCCATAGTGTGTGTCTGTCCGACTGGAAGGACCCGATCCGCCGGTAAGCGTTCGATTCCTGTGTCCGCCGCTCGGTTTCAGGTTGAAAACGACAGCCACGACCACCGGAGCCGCTGCAGCTAACAAGCTAACGGAGCTAACGGACTGCGCTTCCGGGTAGGGATTTCACAACAAAAGCATGACTAAAAGTGTGATTAAAAAGCTTACTTAATATTCCGACATATTACTGTTGCTACTGAACACAGCAAACTGCTGCATTAAAATCAAGAAAATCGATCACCGATTCTATATATATTATATATTCAATCTACATTAGTAAAGAAGAGATATCCAAATAGAAACACTGCAGGTGACAAATGTCACAGAAAGTGTTGTAGGGGTTCAGTTTTCCCTCTGGATTCCTATATCAAGCACATTATCATTCAAATTAAACATTATTACAGTATCAAAAATTAATTTTCTTGAACAACCAGTTGAGACTAAAGTGGTTTTATGACTAACATTCAAGAATTACACCCATTAACTGCTATGAGACTATTTTGTACTGTTTCCTTTGGAGTTATTTGCTTTTTTGTGATCAAATTCTTATTATTCTTTTGGCCCCAGTCCTGGAGGTTGGATTAGAGAAAAAAAAACAGCATAAAAAGGAAATTCACTTCTTGCATACATCTATAATATTAGACATGGAGTGTTTTAACATTACATACAAACATGTTGCTCTTATTAATCCATGTACATCATGGTGTTCATCAGCTGCCTGGGTTTTTATTTACCCCTTCAATACTAGAGCCCCCCACCCACTCTACCTGGGTGGTACCTGGGTGATACAATCTAAAAGAAATAATTGAATAAATAAATAAATTATTAAAAACTGTATAAGAGAGAAAAAATTTTTTGTTTGTTTATTTTCGTGAGTGATTTGAGATCTTATTTTGAAAGCATTGTTTCCTGTCTCGGTCTTGTTGCCTGTGCATACTTGACGTACCAAGTCCGACCGGGAACAGCCGACCTGAGCCGACCACAGCCGAGCATCAGTGTGTTGTGATACAGTTGGTTACAGAGTGTTTGACTTAAATCTCTGTTGAGTCAAAGTTAATGTTGTAGTTCAGACTGATTGAGCAGGAACAGCTGATTGGTCAACTGTGTCTGCTCTGACAGGAAGTGTTGAGACGTTTCCATAGAAACCAAGTGACAAGAAGTGACATTTTTTATGATGTAATGTACGATCACATTTTCATGACTTACGGCCACCACCTCTTTGTGTCTATGGCTCAACAGGACGTTTGGTCCCCTGTTCACAGATTGGCTGCAGCTGCTGTAGCTGCAGTCTGTCCGTCCAATCAAGTGGATGCTACCTGAGACCAACCATCAACCTCTGAGACTGAAACATAAAGCATCAACATGGAAGCTGCAGTTCCTCTAATGACCACTAGAGTCTGGCTCCAACAGTGAGTCAGTCCCCATAGACTCCCATGTTAAAATGTCCAACTTTACAGCAGAAATAAACATGTTTACAGCCTGGTACAGAAACTGTTTTGGTCTCCACAGCTAATTTCCCCCTCATGACACCTGTTTATATAACTCACCTGTTTATATAACTCACCTGTTAACATTTTATTAAGGACTAAAGTTATGGAGGATTGAGGGCATGGCCTCTGAGTGACAGGTGGATGGGTGTATGGTTGACACAAGCTGACATGAACTGAAGTCTCAGTTCCACCCATGCCCCTCCTCTTTGACCATATTTGGATTTGCTGACAGTTAGGGGGCGGAGTCAGGCACTGCCAAGATGGCGACAGTGGAGCAGCTCACTCTGAGTTTCAGAAACCTGAGGGTCCATCTTTATTTACAGACTGAGCCTGAGACTGAGGTGATAACAGCCTGATGATGGAGAGGAGTCACAGCTCTGAGCGCCTCCTACATGTTGAGCTGCTGATGCTCAGCATTTTCTTCCATGTCTAAAAACAAACTGATCATTCCTGTCTCTGAGTGCGAGTCCTTTGACCTGAACACACCCCCTTCACTGATCCATCACAGCCACAAACACAAGCTGCCAACAAACATGGATGATCATTACGCTCCTCACTTACCAGCTTCCTGACAGGAAGGGGCGGAGCCAGAGGAGGCAGCTGGCAGCGGGAGGAGGAGCGCTGTCCGGTGTCGGGAGGTGAGGAGAAGGAGCGCAGCCTCCTGGTCTCCGGACGCCTCGGCTCAGTCAGGTACGTCTCCAGACGGAAAACACTCACCTCCTCTTGACGAGGGGGAGGAGGAGGAGGGGGTGAGGAGAGGCTGTGGGCTGAGAGGAGAGAGGGGAGGAAGAAGAAGGATAGAGACAGAAGAGAGGGTGAGGGATGGATTTGAAAACAGAGGAGTCAGAGTTTTAAATAAACCTTTAAATAAGGGAACATCGCCCTCTGCAGGAAACACTGAGTCACTGCATGAACACATCATCCACACACACACACACACACACACACAGACACACACACACACACACAGACACACACACACACACACACACACACACACACACACCGCAGTGATAATAGTCTGTATTTAGCAGTGATGCTGGATGTCAGTGCTCTGTGACAGCTGGGAGATTATAATAGAAATACTAATAATAAACACAAAGCACTCGGGTTCAACACACACACACACACACACACACACACACACACACACACACACACACACAATCTGTTGTTACATGAAAAAACTGATTTACAGCTAAAATCAGTTTTCAGTGAAGAAACGGAGACAAACTGACCTTTAAAAAAACTCTCTCTCTCTCTCTTCATTGTGTTTGTGGACAAAGTTTAAGAAATGTGAATAATGTCGGCAACAAACCCAGACACAACAATAGAGAACAGTAAGTACTGTGTGTGTGTGTGTGTGTGTGTGTGTGTGTGTGCTGAATAAAGTAGGTTGCCTTGTACCTCTCCCTCTAATACAAGAACCCACACATACACGTACCACTCTGCTAATATGAAACTCTACACAAACAGACAGGCATTTTAACGGATTAGATAGGACACTCACACACACACACACACACACACACACACACACACACACACACACACACACACACACAGTGAAAGTTCTCCGTTACAAGGGAGTCAAAGCACGTAATCAGAAAAATCAATAAAGGCCTGAAACTATCGTTATCATTACTATCATCATGTATTTTTTCATCATTACATGTTGATTGGTTGGTTAGGGTTTGTTGAATTAAAGTTTTAATAAGCAGCTGGGGATTTCAGCTCTGCTTGTATTTCATCTATAAAAAAACATCATCAGAACAAAACCCAGAGTCTGCAGGTTCTGTCCTAAAGATCTGGAACCAATGAGCTGAGAGCCACACACAGAGGAGGACAGAGTTAAGAGACGGACCAACAACCTGACACAACAGGTTTTGATAGATTCTCCTACAACATACAAACAGCCACACCAGACAGTTCACATCAGCTGCTGCTCCTCTGATTGAACTGTGACTACAGCACAGTGACATCACAGTGACATCACAGCGACTGAAACAAACAGTGATTACAGGTTCAGCTAACGTGAGAAGAACATAGTCAAACTGCAGCGATAACAGGATTACACTGGAGTTTCTATGTGTTCCCGCTCTCACACTTTCAGTCTGTCAGACGGGTGGTGTTGAGCGGGAAGGACTGATGTAGGTTCAGACCAGGAGGCCGGAGCTGACAGAGGAGCTGGACAGAGACAGGAGACAGGCTGTTAGAGAGGCGGGGTGTTAACCAGTGTCTAAATGAGACGACAGAGGTCGCCGTGACGTTAAACATCATCTACTCACCAGTCCACCGTCACAGCCGCATGTTTATACCGACACTCTTGTTCTTGGGTGTTTGTTGTTGTATATCTCTAATAATCCCATTGGCTGTTTGTGGAGGGAACCAGAGTGAAGCTAACTTCAGCGCCGGGCTACAGGCGTACGTCACCCCTGCAGCTCTGTGTTATTAAGTTGTTATGGTGTTGTCAGGTGGCTGTTTGTGGTTGTTGGTGATGATCTAAATGGTTGCTAACACGTTGTTAGGTGGTTGTGAGTTACTGCTTTGTGTCAGTAATGTGTTGCCAGGTGGTTGTTAGGGTGTTTCGTTTTTGTTGTTGTTTTGTTGGATGGTTACTAATGTGTTGCTAGGTTACCAGTTGTTAGCTGACACATCACTGTGTGACACGTGGTATTGACGGTGAGTGGTTGCTTGGCTGTTGCTATGGCTATTAGGGTGTTCTAGGTGGTTGCTGTGGAAGTGGTCGGTGATTGTGTTCCTGAATGGTTGCTATGGTAATCTGTATATGTTACTGGATCATTGTCAGCTTACTCTTGTCCAGAAGGTCGAAGGGCTCCGACCTGTCTCCACTCATCTGTCCGTCCCCCTCCTCGCTGCAGGACGTCCTGCGTCCCGTGCGTCTCTGGAGCAGCTGCCTCCTCTTCCTGATGGACAGAGGAAGTAGTTGGACGTACAGGATGCCACAGGGCTCTGACCGCCGCCGCAGCATCCGTCTGTCGGTCTCCTTCAGCTTCCTGTCCGTCTGTCCTCCTGCTCTGTCCTCCACCATGATCCACGACGCAGACTTCCTCCTTTCTCTCCCTCTGCCCGTCTCCATCCTCCTCCCGTCTTTCCCATCCTCCTCATCCATGTTGGATTCAGACTTCCTGCGTTCTTTCTTCCGGCCGAGCTCACTCTTCTTCTCCTGCGTCTTTTGGTCTTCCTCTGTCTGTCCACAGGGTTCAGACTTCCTCCTCTGCATCTGTCTGTCTCTCCTGTCTGTCTGCCACTCCTCCTCCTCCTCCTCCTCCACCTCTTCTCCTCCATAGGGTTCACTCCTCCTCCTCCCCGTCCATCTCTCCTTCTCCTTCCACTTCCTCAGCATCAGACTGCTCAGACGCTTCATCGCCATCAAACGTTCAAAAATAAAAATAAAAAGATAAAGATGAAAAATTGAATGTTTTAAAATCAAAAAATGAATTTATTGGCAACAAAAGGCAGCGATACAAAACTCCATCACTGCAGGTTTTTGCTGTTTCAGCCTCACACTGGTATGACCAGTAGCTTATGTGGCTAATGCTAACGTTATGTCAAACTGTGACAAACAAAACTAAAGAGATAAATCAGATTAAACTGCAGTGATGAAGTTTGTAATTAAGTAAAAAGATTTGATCTAATTAGTTAAACTAATGAAATTAATTTAACTGTAAATGTGTCCTGGTTCCCAGCTTCATCAGCAATCAACGAATCCTGAGGCTCCACAGTCTGAAAACCTGCTCTGATTGGCTGCTGCAGAATCGAGTCGTTTTGAATAAAGTCAGTAAAGATCAAAACAAAACTGTAAAACATCGGAGCCTCCAGCCCCCCCCCCCCCGGCAGACAGACAGGTGGTCCTTCTGACAGACAGACAGACGAAGTGTTGGAGGTTGGTGTTTCTCCAGCAGCAGAGTCCTGTGAGTGTTTCAGCTCTGCTCAGTATCGCTGTGTTTATGGTGTGGGTGGATGTGTGTGTGTATGTGTGTGTGTGTGTGTGTGTGTGTGTGTGTATGTGTGTGTGTGTGTGTGTGTGTGTGTGTGTGTGTGTGTGTGTGTCCTGTTGCCCATGTTAGCCACACCTCCCTCTCCTGTCTACACTGTAAAAAATGAGAACAGTCTCTACATGAGTGTGAAGACAGACTGAAGAGGACGAAGGCTGCAGGTCTCACCTGTACTGCAGGTGAGGATACAATGTGGCGGTGGTATTGGCTCTGAGCATGTTCACTGGCCCCTCCCCCCGGAGGAGCGGGGGTCACTCCCAGCACATACCTGTGTACATGAGGTGTTCCTCTCTCCCTGTCTGATTTTAACAAGCTGTTTATCGAAAGCACGAGTCAGCTGCTGCACGGCCATCCAATCAAGAGTGGGGTGGTTGACGTCGACATCTCTGTGGCCAATCAGCATCGTGGGACAAAAAAACATGATTCATCCACAGAAACCCTTAAACACAGACGGACGTGCTACAGACATTTTTTGCAGTGCACCCCTGTCTCTTTGAGGATGATGAAAACAAACGCACCATGCGCTCCATCTGGGCCTGATGTGCCTCACCCGGTTCATTAAAGGATCACAGTCACAGGGATTACAGCTCTCTAATGTCAGCCGGACCAATTTAGACCAGTCTGGACCAGTTTGGACCAGTTTGGACCGAACCCTGGACTGAGAACCGAACACTCACCAGATAATGTCTGTGGTGAGGCGGCCGGGGGCCATGTGGTCTCTCCTGGACACACTTCAACAGGGTTTCTGTGATCAACCTGCAGGGGTCACCAGGTCACCAAACCAGCGTTTAACACAACACACTCATCTGTTCTACACGATTAGCACCAGAGCTAACTAGCTAGCTGTGTGTGTGTTTGTGTATGTGTGTGTGTGTCTGTTTGTGTGTGAGAGAGAGAGAAAGTGAGCAAGCTGCCAAATTTCTAACTGAAGAGATGCCAAGTTCAGCTTCTGGAAACTCCTACGGGAGGGGCAGCGAGGAGCTGAGTGAGTGTGTGTGTGTGTGTGTGTGTGTGTGTTTTAATAAAAGCAGCTAAGCTTATTTATTCCCTCTAAGAGTCTAAATTGATTTTTAACTCAATAATCTTTGAATAAAACAAAGTGCCAACAGGCCACACACACACACACACACACACACACACACACACACACACACACACACACAGAAGAGCAGAAATCTAGTTTGTGTTGAACAGGCCACAAGTATTTGGACAGTTAGCTTCAGCACATTCAGTCTAAATTAAAGAACAGATTCTACATCAAGGAGGAGGAGGAAGAGGAAGAGGAGCAGGAGGAGACCCTGACTCCTTAATATTTCCTGCAAGAAACACAGTCCTCGCTGCAGCTGGCCCCCGGTTTGATTCCCGCATCGGATGGCCCTTTCCTGCGAGTCATCCCCCCCCCTCTGCCTCCCCATTCTGTGTCTCTACTGTCCTGTCCATTAAAGGCACAAAAAAGCCCCCCCCAAAAAAAGAAAAGAAGCGATTAAAAATAAAGATAAAAGGGTGAAAAGGTCAGTGTTAGAGAATAAAGTGCAGCCATTACACAGAATGATCTGTGTCTGTGTGTGTGTGTCTGTGTGTGTGTCTGCAGTCAGTGTGATAAACCTCGTCAGTAAAGTAGTGACGTGTGATTGAAGTGATGTTAGCATGTGTGTGTGTGTGTGTGTGTGTGTGGGGGGGGGGGTCAGTGTGATGAGTCTTAACCTTTTAGATTTAAATACATCAGAACCATGGACGTGTCGTCCTCTGTGTCCACGTCTCCTTGAAGCTGCAGACAGACTCTTGTTCTCCTCAGTAAAATAATGATAATAATAATGATAATAATAATGATAATGATACATTTTATTTATAGGCACTGAAGGACTCAACACAGTAAAAGAGACTAGAATCTGCTCAGACTAGTTCCAGGTCACATCACACAGTCATATAAAAATATACAGTCATATGAAATATGAACCGTGTGTGTGAAGTCATGAGTAATGGCTAAATAGTGTTTTCTGAGGTCAGTGATTTTGACCTTTGACCGCTAAAATCTAATCAGTTCATCCTTGAGTCCAAGTGAATGTTTGTGCCACATTAGAAGAAGATATCGTTTCCATGAGAACAAGACGGACGGACACCCTGAAAACAAAATGGCTGCTGCTCTGACTGTCGCCATGGTTACAATAATAAAAAAGTAGAAGGTATAAAATACAAAATAAATTAGAATAAAGTATCAGTGCAGAGGGGAAGACACATCAGGATCAATAAGTGAGTCCAACTGTCAACTGTGTTACTCCAACATGACCAGCGGGTGGCAGTGTTGTCTCACACACACACACACACACACACAAACACCCACACACACTAACGATTTAAATACGATCCAACCATGAGTGTCGGTCTTCCTCTGTGTCCTAGCGTCTCCTTGAAGCTGCAGACAGGACTCTTGTTTACGCTGCCCTCCCCAGTAAATTTAATGATAATGAATAATGATAAATAAATCATTGATTAATGAATAAATAATAACAATATCATAAACCTATATAATACATAATAATAAAATACATGAATAATAATAATAATAATATAACAATCAAATGATAATGATAATATTACATAATAATAATAATGTTCAATGGATAATGATACATTTGAACTTTATAGGCACTGAAAGACTCGACACAGCATAAAAGAGGGACTAGACTCTGCTCAGATAGCTTCCCCAGCTCCACACACAGCTTCATATACAAATATTATACCAGTCATATAAACTTATGAACCCGGTGTGTGTGAAAGCTCAGTGAGTGTCAAATGAGCCTAAAAATAGTCGTTTCCTGAGGTCAGTGATTTTTCGAGCCTCTGACCGCTAATCCTAAATGCAGATTCATCCCTTCGCAGCGTCCCAAGATTTTCGCCTGATCTGTTCTAGCATCGACTCCACATGAAGCAAGAAGATTTCTGTTCATCGAGAACAAGAACGATGCACTATCGGCAACACCCCCTGTTAAACACTAACAGCCGAGCTTGCTCGCCTGATCTGTCGCCATAGGTCTACAATACCTAAAAAGTAGAAGTTGTATTAAATACAGAACTAAACGTAACGAGATAGATAAACCGCGATCAGTGCAGAGGGAAGACACATACCCAGGCGACTTCAATCAACCAGAGTACCAAATAAAGTGAGTCCAAGCTTGTCCACTCACAGTGGTGTTACCTCCCAAACCCTATACGAGCAGCGGGTGGGCCAGTGGATGTCAACCACAACACTACACAAGCACACGACCAT